GTATTTTTGTAATTCCTTGAATATTGTACTAAGTAATATTTGGTGGGTTTTATTGTTGATTTACCTGGGGGACCAAGGCACCCCATTTATAAATTGTCTTGGTGGTGGCAGCGTTAAAATAGTAATTGTTATATTATTATGTTTAAGTGTGGGTGGTGTTAAAAAGGAGGATTTTGTCATTATTTCCAGTCTAGTGCAGACAAATAGTGAACTTTAACCCTTTCACCACCACAACTACGTCACACACACTCTTGGAGTAGGTTGGCCCTTGTGGCGAAACCGACTGCTACGTGTCCTTGGAGGGGGCTGCTTGCCCGCCTCTTACCTTTAGACTATGGCCCCTGTTCTTTTTCCCTGTTTTGTGCCTTTCTGCAGACTGTTAAAGGCATGCTACCCCATACAGATTGAACTGTATGTATGTGATCTGAGCGCCATCCGGTAATAACGTGCGCTCAGATCTAAGCTATCTGGGGATAGGTAGAATGTCTGTATTTTATGTATAAATGTAACCTTGTGTATTTTATTGTATTTTACTGTCTTTTGTCTGCCATGTGTGTAATGGAGTTTGCCTCTGTCCTTGGAGATAATTGGATTACTTCTCCAATTATCTCCAGGCCAGGGAGGAGGGATTGTGATGCATTGTGGGTTGTAACTGTTATTTGATTGGTTATTTTATACCTCCCTGTGGGCGGTCCTGTATGTGCAAGACTGTAATAAAAACCAGGCTGGGTGTGCCAGCAGTGTTGTTCCTGTTTAACCCTCAAAGTGAAGTGTCGTCTCATTCTTGGGGGGAATTTGACTGTATGCCGATTGCCAGGAGTGTAAGCTGTTCGTAGGGCTTTTCCTGTTCGGCTGCTTCCAGGGTTCGTGTGTCTGCTGTTCGAGAGTTGGTGAATACGTGCAGTTTGGAGTTCGGGAGGTTGGTGATTGCAGTAGCTGCTGGTCTATCTGGAAGGGGATTATCGCCTAAACGGTTTTTAACCTCTGTGTGCAAAACGGTCCGTTACAGCCCTTATACCTGGAAGAGCCACCCATTTCACCGTCCTAGACTTGGATGCCTTTTTCTGTATACGCCTAGAACTGTAGAGCAAAAAGATATTCGCTTTCCAGTGGGAATATTCTACCACCAGAATTAAGAGACTATTAACCAGGACAAGACTGCCTCAAAGCTTCAAATAAATCCCCCAACCTTGTTCCCCTGCTGCCCAGTTATATCCGGACTTGAATAACTTGCCCCCACCTCCTCCCCCAGTGGTTCGATTGCCGGAGAGCATTCACTGGACACACCACCTACGTCCCCTGTGATGGCATTTTCTAGTTCCCCTGGTACCCCCACTCAGTCTATCCCCAGAACTAACCAGCCTGTATCCAGTGCCTTACATAGCACAGATTATTCCTTGCCAGCAGAGGTTTTCCTTACGTCCCCCAAAGCCTCCACTAGTCACCAATATGACCTTAGGGCTAGGTCTGGTGCTAAAATCTTGCCCCTCAGAGCCCAACCTGGTCTGCCTGTCCTGGATGCTGATGGACATGTGGGTTATTAATTCATGTGGTTAATTAAAATTAACAGGGAATAATTTTGCAGATATTGAAATGTTGAAATAAAATAAATAAACCCAGACATTGATGTGGATATTTTTGAATTTCTTGTATAACTTGAAAATGCATATAACCTTGTTGCTGATTTTTCTGCAGATCAGTTAATCAATGAATTTGTGCAAAAAAAAAAAAAAACCCCCAAAAGAAAACTGTGAAAAGTTGCTTTGTTCTACATGAATTAAGGCAAGAGTGCAGAACTGAAGGGGTTACCATGGCTTCAGGTTTGTTTTTTTTAGGCACAGTGCAGAAGAAGTGATACCAGCTGACCCCTCCCAGTCTTAGAAACTGCACTCAAAGCAGACTATAGCTTGGGTTGATTTAAACATCTTTGATTTAATTTATGAGAGTGAGATTTTCATTTCAGGACTGATAATGGATTGCAATATTTTGCAAAGCCTGGTCATAAATATGTTTTGACTATATAAAAAAATAAATAAAAAAGGAGGTACTGGTAGGATAAAACCTAGATTTGAAAAATACATATCATATAGGTAACATGTATGTCTTTTGAAAGTTATTTCAGGGGACAAAATGGTGCCAGTGTTGAGACAAGATGGCTAACATTACTAAAGTATAGTGTTAAACTATTTTTCTGTTAGCAGAGGCCTTATTTACACTAACTTAGGTCTGCAGGGCCCGACGGCCTACCCCGTCCCATCGGCCATTGCTATTCCCCTATACATCCTAACCTGGCCAACCTGCCCTTGCCTTCTCCTACTCTGGAGGACCTGCCTGAGATACACCTTCTAAACACCCTGAGTGTACCCCATCTGTTATACCCACACCACCTGTACTCAGTCCGTTAGGTGAAAGAAAAGTCTCTTCATGGTCGACACTGGGGCCCAGCACTCTGTCATGACCAAACCCATTGCCCCGCATCTGAGCAGACTGTCACTATAGTAGGGGCCAATGGTAGGCTTGTCACCATACTATTGCTACGAGAAAGAACCTGCAATTTGGGAGGCAAAGTCATTCAACACCAGTTCCTGTACATGCCAGACCGTCCCATTCAACTCCTAGGGAGAGATGTCCTCTCCAATCTCCAAGCAAAGATCACATTTCCTCCAAATGGTAACACAGTTCTTGAATCATGTCTTTATCTGTCCCAAAAGAGGTAGAATGGAGGTTATTTGCTGTTAAGGCCCACATGGATGCACCCCAACTACCTCCAGAAATCACAGAGACCCCTGGTATAGGGGCTGAACAAAACCCCCTTGTTCTTGCCCTAAACAGGCCTCCGGTCCACATTGAACTGAAACCAGGTTTGTCCTCCGTCCGCTAGAGCCAGTACCAGAAGAGAGAAACAATATGAAGTGAAGAGAGCGACAATATGAAGTAAAGAGAAAGACAATACGAAGTCAGAAGTGGAAGACAATACGAAGTCAGAAGATGGCCGGCAAACACCCAGCATGAGAGAATTGCCATCCCTGATCAGACTTATGACTGAGCCAGTACAGGAAAAGACATTCTGGGCATGGCAGACTACCAACCTGTTCAGGACCTCAGGGCAGTTAACAAGGAAGTCATGACAATTCACGTGGTGGTGCCTAACCCCTATAACCCGTTGGAGCTTATACCTGGAAGAGCCACCCATTTCACTGTCCTAGACTTGGACGCCTTCTTCTGTATACACCTAGAACTGTAGAGCCAGAGCACATTCTCTTTCCAGTGGGAATATTCTAGCAGAATTAAGAGACTATTAACCAGGACAGGACTGCCTCAAGGCTTCAAATAAATCCCCCAACCTGTCTGGAGAAGTACTCAGTTATGATCTGTGAGATTTCACGCCTGAGTCAGGTCACTGTATGCTACTATGTGTCCAGTGCATCGTGTTACTAATAAAGACACTGGAACATTTGCACCTGCAAATAAATCAATGTTTGCTTCCTGGAATCCGTGTCCATTCTCTTATGTACTTCTTAGTCTTGCATTCCTATAACACTTCCATTTTCTCAAACCAGGTCGTTAGAGGAAGGGGTGTGTCAGTCTTCCAATACAAGGGTAGGATATGTTTTGGTGTGTTCAGTATCCGTATAGTTAGATTTTTTGTATTTGGCTGGTTGTGGTTGTGGTGCTGTGCAGGAGGTATGCGGTAGGTTGTGGTGCTGTGCAGGAGGTATGCGGTAGGTTTAAATAGAGGGAGGTTGTCGAACTTTTGTAACACCTGATCGTTCGCCAGTAAGGGATAACCTTTGGGCAGTCCCAACATATATGCAGAAATGTGCCTACACTGGTGTGGCATCGTCAGCACCGGTCGCTCAGGTCTGGGTTCATTTTCTGCAAGATATGCAGTGTTCTATACCACAAGGTTAAAACCTTGTATGCTGTGTCTTGGGTCTTGCTCGCCAATGCACAGTGGTAGGTAAGGTCGCATATTTTGTCCGATTGTTGCTCCGTAAATGTGTCACCTGCCATCATTTCCCATTTGCCCATGTTGGGAGGTTCCTGTTTTGTAGGAACAGAGTGGATAAATGGAAGATGGCATGTATGAGTGGTTCGGGGTCTGTACCCAGGCATTCAAATGAGGTCAGAGAAGTAATATTTTATAAGAAAAAAGTCCAAAAAGCACTAGCAGTGAAAAAAAAAAAAAAAAACAAGTGGAAATGGTCTTCCTAATGTATCTCACAAATACACCACAATATACTATAAATAAAGAAGGTGGAAAGCCAAAACAACACTGGTATTGTAAGAAATGGAGAACAAACTGATATATAGAATATTCGGCACCAATATAATACCACTGTATTATGCCATGTTTTGTCTATATTCTTGACCCAAGAAAACCTCTGTGGATTTTGGATTTACTCCTCTAATGCCGAATATTCTATATATCAGGTTGTTCTCCATTTTCTTACAATACCAGTGTTGTTTAAATATTTTATACATTAATTGTATTCAATATTATATGTGCGGCCCAAGACAATTCCCCTTGCTCAGTATGTCCGGGGAGGCCAAATGGTTGGGACATACTTTAGGGAAGAACCCTGTCAAACTGTAAGCTAAAAAAAAACAAAACAATCTGTTAACACAGGCAAAACTATTTTCCCGCCCCAGAAATCTGCAATTCCCTGTTGAATTCTATACATATCACAGCTCTTCTCATAATAATACTTTACAAATCCCCAGTTTGTCGAATAAACTAATTGTAATTGGTGTCTCACACTAGCTCAATCCTTAAATCTGATAACTCTTGGGAAATCCCACATTCTATAAACCAACATAACACACATTACATCTAGTCAGCCACCGCCCATCTTCCTGTGTCCCTCACTGCTCCCACATTCCCACCTTCCCTGAAAGCTATCCAGCTACTGTTGTTCAGCCGAGGCTCAATAAGAAACCGTGGCTTTAACTTCAACCCCCAGGTGATGACTAGCTTGCTATCGCCGTTCTACCTGCAGCAGTGCTAGCATTGTTCGGGGTTTCTTGTTGCAAAGTGCTTCCCGCCAAAACCAGGAGAAGAAGCGCTACCGCCGCCATCTTGGCCTCTGCTTATGACGTAAGTGAGCGCGAAGCGTCGGCTTGCAGAGTGATCGCTGCGCGAGCTGCTAAAATGGCGGCGCTGGCTGAGGTTTGGCACTCAGGCTGTTTAGTGTGCATGCTGGGCGTCATGGTAAAACCTACTGAACAGCAAGGGTCAGTTATTCACTGTGTGAGTGCATCTGCACACTCCACCCTTATGAGTGTCCATTACAAGCATCTTTTTTTTTTTTTTACAAAACTCCATTTCCCAACCTCCTGCTTCCCTGAAATAAAAGTGTCCATAATGGTCCCTGCTTGTCTTCCATGTGAGAAATTGACTCTGGGTCAAGATCCTTTCATGAAAACCAGAGATTTGTGGCTATTGCACAATAATATAAAGAATCAGATATAGTGTTAACACTATGTGTGCCCTTGGGCATTACAGACCCATCACTTTAATGTATACACGCACGCACAAAATATAACTGCTCTGCACTATGTAGAATTACTATTCTCAGATTCAAATAAATTTTTAGTCAAGAGGAATGGTGTGGCATGATAAAGCAACACGACAGACACCATAACAAGTTAATCGAAATTTTAAGTTGTTATGGTGCAAATAGGTCAGTGACGTTTCCAAACCAGTAGGTGTTAAACCGTTCACAAACTGTTTAACCCCAAAGTTTGATTTACAGCGCTGTTCTTTTGTGTAGCGATCGCTGCCTGGTTTCTGAAATTCATCTAGACTAGAGGAAGCATTTGTATACCGTAGTATAGTGCTAATGGCATGTTCTCATCACCCAATTCATTATATATTTTATACTTATCTCTCTTATCATTCAGCATTGACTATTCTTTATATCTGTGGGGGAAACACCGCCACAATATTATTAGAAGAAGGAAAGCTAGAGAAAGTTTTCCATTAATTTATAAATAAATAAAAATCCAAAAATGGGTTACTATACAGGACTAAGGTACTTTTTCCTAGGAGAACAGAAGTATTTTCATACCCATTCACTTTAATAAGAATACCAAATTAGAGAGTTGTCTACTAAACGTAAGGAGCAAAATTAAAGGGACACTCCAGGCACCCAGACCACTTCTGCCCATTGGAGTGGTCTGGGTGCCAACTCCCACTACCCTTAACCCTGCAACTGTAATTATTGCAGTTTTTATAAACAGCAATAATTACCTTACAGGGTAAACTCCTCCTCTAGTGGCTGTCTACTAGACAGCCACTAGAGGGCACTTCCAGAATTATAGCACAGATTTTCTGTGCTATAGCGTCGCTGGAGGTCCTCATGCTATGCAAGGACCTCCAGCAACGCTAAAATCCCCATATGAAAGCATTTCAATGCTTTCCTATGGGGAGGCCTAATGCGCGTGCGCGCCCGCAGGCGGGCGTGATCAGTCTTCCCGTCTGATCACGCCTGCCGACACCACGTTGCGGATCAAGAAGCAGCAGGGGTTTTGACCCCCTTAAGCATCCGGGGATGGGAGGTGGGGAGAGGGAGAGGGGACCTGCCAGGATTGTTTTCCTGGCACTGGAGAGTCCCTTTAAGAAAAATACCTTATTTGGAGGGTGCGCATTCCAGTTTTCCAACTTGGAATTTTCACAGCTGGCCATCATGCACCCATGTATTTCAAATGGTGGTATTTTAACACTTTCCATGCATTAATTCTACCACCAGTCTTTGTTAAACGTTTGTGTAGTCATTTTTTTGTGTTATTTTTCACACACATTCTACTTTAAGCATGGGTTTTTAACTCCTTTTATGTTATGTTATTATTGTTATGTTATTATTTATATAGCGCCAGCAAATTCCGTAGCGCTTTTACAGTAGGTGGACGAACAGACATAGTTGTAGACACATAGGAACAGAGGGGTTGAGGGCCTTGCTCAATGAGCTTACATGCTAGAGGGAGTGGGGTAAAGTGACACCAAAGGTAAGGATAGTATTAGACTAATGGCAGTTGCAAGAGAGGAATCAGTCGGGAGCTATTAACAGTTTAATTGATATGCTTTTATGAAGAAGTGTTTTTTTTAAGAATTTATGAAGGAGTGGAGACTGGGTGAGCATCTAACAGAGGAGGGAAGTGAGTTCCACAGGAAGGTGCAGCCCTGGAGAAGTCTTGAGGGCGAGCATCTGAGGTGGGAGTACGGACAGAAGATAGACGTAAGTCTTCAGCAGAGCATCAGGGCCTAGACAGGACATACTTGTGTATTAGTGAGGATAGATAGGTGGGAGCAGCATTATGTAGAGATTTGAAAGAAAGAACCAGAATTTTAAATTGAGCCCTATATCTTACAGAAAGCCAATGTAGGGACTGACAGAAAGGTGAGGATTGGGAGGTGCGGGCAGAAAGGAAGCTGAGCCTGGCTGCCGCATTCTTTATGGACTGTAACGGTGTAAGTTGGGAGAACGTAAGACCACTGAGAAGTGGATTTCACTAGTCAAGGCGAGAAAGCACAGTGGATTGGGCCAGCACCTTAGTCGCATCTGGCATTAAGTAGGGTCAGATGCGCGCAATGTTTTTGAGATGGAAACAACAGGATTTGGCGATAGACTGAACATGAGGCGTGAAGGAGAGGTTGGAGTCAAAGAGAACACCTAGGCAGTGAGCCTGTGTGGTTGAGCTGATGGTAGCACCATTGACTTGGATGGAGACAGACACAGGAGTAGCAATACTTGAAGGAGGAAACACTAGAATTTCAGTTTTGGTCAAGTTGAGTTTAAGGAAGTGAGCAGCCAACCAGTTAGAAATAGCAGAGAGGCAGTCAGAGACACTAGTCAAGAGGGACGGGGAGAGATCAGGAGAGGACAGATAGATTTGCGTGTCAACCGCATAGAAATGATATTGGAAGCCAAAGGAGCTAATGAGTTTACCAAGGGAGGCAGTATAGATGGAGAACAGTAGGGGACCAAGGACTGAACCTTGGGGGACAGAGAGGAGTTGGGGAGAAGAAGCAGAGCCAGAGAAAGAAACACCGAAAGAGCGCTGGGAGAGGTAGGAGGAGCACCAGGTGAGAGCAATATTTTGTAGACCGATATTGCACAGGATGAGAAGAAGCTGTTGATAATCAACAGTGTCAAATGCCGCAGAAAGGTCAGAGAGAATTAGGATAGAGTAGTGATCACGAGATTTTGCAGCGAGTAGATCATTGGATACTTTGGTCAGTACCGTTTCCACAGAGTGCTTAGCGTGGAAACCAAACTGAAACAGGTCTAGTAGACAGTTAGACTCGAGGAAGTGTGTCAATCTTGCATACACAACTCTTTCAAGGATCTTGGATGCAAAATTCAGTAGCGAGATAGGACGGTAGTTGAATGAGGAGTTAGGGTCAAGGTTGGGCTTCTTTAGAATTGGGGTTACAGTTGCATGTTTGAAGGGCGATGGAAATATGCCAGAGAGAGAGATTGAGAATTTTAGTGAGACGTGGAGAAAGATATGGCGATAGAGTACGGATGAGATGCAAAGGGAATTGGATCTAGGGAGAAGGTGGTGGGGCGGGAGGACTGGAGCAGAGCAGAAACCTCTTCCACTTTGGTGGGTGCGAATGAACATAGAACAGCAGAGGGAGTGAGGTTAGGGGAAGTATTGTAAAGGGAAGAAGAAAGATGAGAGATCTATTCCCTGATTGTAGAGATCTTGTCAGTGAAGTGAGTTGCAAAGTCTGAGGCGGTCAAGTTAGTAGGTGGAGGAGGAACAATAGGGCGAAGAAGAGAGTTACATGTGTGAAATAGTCTTTTATGTTTGCGGGAGAGTGTGGTTATGAGGGTATTGAAGTAATTTACTTTTGATTCTAGGAGAGCCTGTTGTTGGTTATGTGATAGAATGTATCTTGATTCCAAGGCTCAAGCTTATAGGTGTCATATAATGATATCCTATATTAAAATTGGCTAACTTGGACTCAGGAAATGCTTGATGCTTAAACAACACTTAAGACCATATACAGGCCCGGACTGGCCATCGGGCACACCGGGCAAATGCCCGGTGGGCCGCGATGGCCGTGGGGCCGAGGCCGGCAGGGAGATCACAGGATCTCCCCTGCCAGCCCCTGCAGGGCCAGCGCTACCCAAGCGCCGGCCCCGCTGTGTGCCTCCATGGGCTGGTGGGGAGATCAAAGATCTCACTCACCGGCCCAGAAGCAGTGTTACAGGCGGCCGTAGGCTGGGGAGGGAGGGAGGAGAGAGGACCGGCGGAGCTCTAACAAGCAGCTCCGCCGGGTCCTCTCGCGGGATTCTGAGCGTTGCCGCGGTTACTGCGGCAACGTTCAGCTCTTGCGAGAGTGAACTCTAGCCTGCGGGTTAGAGTTCACTCTCACCACTGGACCACCAGGGAAGGATGGCAGCATGGCTCCCCTTCCCAGGCAGAACGGCTCCCCCCCCCCCTCTCCCAGGCTAAAGGTAATAAGGGAGGGGACATAACTTTTTTAAAAAATTATTAATAAAAAAAAAAAGTTAAATAAATTCCCTAACAGCACCCAGACACACACAGCACCCAGACACACACAGCACCCCCAGACACACACAGCACCCTCAGACACACACAGCACCCCCAGACGCACACAGCACCCCCAGACGCACACAGCACCCCACAGACGCACACAGCACCCCCAGGCGCACACAGCACCCCCAGACGCACACAAGACCCTCAGACAGACAGCACCCTCAGACAGACAGCACCCTCAGACAGACACATATACAGCACACACAAATATATATATTATATATTATATAAAATAACCCTCAGTGAGTTAACAGACAAAGAAAATTAGAAACCTAGAATGTGACGGCAGATAAAAACACCCTCACACACAGCACCCCTCTTACACAAACACACTGCGCACCTCACACATACAATACGTCCAAATATATATATATATATATATATATATATATATACACACACACTACAGCACCTCTCACACTGCACCACTACACACATTACGCTCCAGATACACGCTAGATCCCTTACCCTATATGCACTCTTAATCCTCTACACACACACACACACACACAATCTTCTATACACACTCTGGGTCCCTTACACACTAGATCTCTTACACACACACTTACTTTTTAATGTATAAAACCCAGCTGATGA